CTCCTCGCCCTCTGCGTCGTCTGCTGCTCCGGGTGCGCTGGCGCAGGTCCTGAGCGATAGGTTATGGGAATGCGCGATGAAACCATTTTCTTTCGTTCGGTTCTGAGAGCAAATTGTGATTTAAACGTTTTTTTAAGCGATGCCGAAGCGATGAATGAAATTCCTTTTACTACTGCGGTGTGTATAAGGGTTTTGCTGGTCAGAAGGGTTTTATTTTTACGTAAAGGAACAGCCTAAAAATGTGATATCCAATGAAGATAACTGATAATGAACGAGCATCTCTCAGAAAAAAATCCCCATCTGTGTAAACTAGTTCTTCAGCCAATGTTTATCAACGTACCTTTAATAGATAGCGTAAATGCTTGAATCCTAGATAACAGATAGCGGAGAGCGGAAGAAAAACTAATTGTTAAGCGATACCCTTCCCAAGACAAGGCCCTGCTGACCATAAATCAAGCTTCCATGTTGGAATGAGCGACTTTCCTGCCTACAGACACGTACTGGGGTCGGCACACGTGGTTCCCTCATAGGAGTTCCGTCTGATGATCCCAGGGACTGCACTCCCTCCCTCCTTTCCCACTCTGAGGCCCGGTTTCTCTCTCGTCACTTCATTCTCGTTCAACTTTCTTACTCCCTTTCTCTTCCTTGTGTTTATCCGTTTTCCTACCGGTTTCCCCTCATGATTTCTTTCTCTCTCTCTCCTCTTCTTCCTCCCACGTTTCCCTAATTATCACGTGTTTCTCACCTCACGTATTTACTCTCGTTGCCTCTTCTCACTCCTCCTCCGGATTTCCCTTCAACACGCTTTTCCCCTCATTATTTTTTGCTCCCTTCCTCTCCTCGTTTCCTCACTCTTATTCCCACGAATCCCCCCCCCCCCCTCAAGACTTTTTTCTCGCTTCACTTTCTTGTTCCTTTTCTTCCTTCTTTCTTCTCATTTCCTATCTCTACTAGTTTAATCTCATTCTTTCTTTCTTCTACTCCTTCTCATTTCCCATCTCTACTCGTTTACTCCCCTTCTTTCTTTCTTCTACTCCTTCCTCTGTTTGTCCTATTTTACTACGCATTCCCACCTTAGCAACACCTTATCCTCCCACTTCTCGTGTCTCCCTCCTCCTCCTCCTCCCTTTCTCTCCCTTCTTCCCACGCATTTCTCTTCACACCTTTTATCTCTCACTCGTCCTCCACCTTATTTTCCTTCCTTCCTTCCTACACATCTCCCACTTTAACACCCTTTCCTCTCATTCCTTCTTTCTCACTCCTCCTCCCTCCTTCCCTTTTCCTTCACCTCGTCTTCTCTCCTTTCAAGTCCACAAAACACCCTTCATCCTCCTCAGTTTCAGGATGCTTCTTTTCGTATGATTTTTGACCCTCACACTCTATTCATGTCTTTCTCTCTCTCTCTTCTATTCGCACGATCCTTTCCAAAAGAGGTTCAGCCATAGTTGCACTCGACTTGTTCTGTATTTCTTTAAAGTCTAGTTCTTCCCACACTGTTCCTTTCCATTGTTCTTGATCTTTTTTTCTCTATCTCGTCCCCCAGATTCATTCTTACCTGATTCTGTCCGGTTACACTTCAGTTTTCCGTATTTCCTCTCCCTTTCCTCTCTTCCTGCACTTCAGTTTCCGTATTTCCTCTTCTTTTCCTCTCTTCCTGCACTCGAGTTCCTCCTCTGCAATCCTGACAGCACCACGCTCCTCCTCAGACTTTAACCACAGTCTCTTTCCAACCGGTACCTCTCCCTCCTCCGACTCCCACTCTCCCCCACCAAACCTTCTTACCCTCTCCCCCCTTCTCTCCCTCCTCCCCTTCTCCCTCCTGTACGTTCTTACCCCCCCCCTTCTCTTCCCTCCTCCCCTTCTCCCTCCTCCTTCCCTCCTGCATCCCCAGCACCTCCCACACCTGTTACGAATATATCAGCTAAGATGGAAAGAAGAGGAGAAAGTACCCCTTTAAATCTCTCTCTCTCTCTCTCTCTCTCTCTCTCTCTCTCTCTCATATATATATATATATATATATATATATATATATATATATATATATATATATATATATATATACGTATACCTATCAATCTAAAATTATAGATTAATACAAATTCTCAAATATAAAAATAAGTTCAGTGTCAAATCTTCAGTCCATTCCTAAACTAAAACCCTCAATATAAGAAAATACTCCCTATATCAGAATACTCAGTATCCTAAAATCCCAAGCATATCAAACCCTCAGTACACCAAAACCCTTAGCATATCAAGACCTTCAGTATATCAAAATCCTCAGTATAGCAAAACCCTTTGTAAACTAAAATACTCACTATATTAAAATCCCCTTATATATATATATATAATATATATATATATATATATATATATATATATATATATATATATATACACACACACACACACACACACACACACACACACACACACACACACACACACACACACACACACACACACACACACACACACACACACACACACATATATATATATG